CCATCCATGGTTGCAAACTCCACCTTGCTAAGCCAGTCTGGAACCTTGATGTCTTGTTTGACTCTCCACTATCCTTTTTACCCCAGATCTGCTCCATGACCCGTTCTGCCTTCCCCCACCTCTGCAACATCGCCCAGCTCCGCCACTGTCTCACACCACAGGCCAACAAAACCCTCAAACATGCTTTCACTACATCGAGACTTGACTATGCCAACTCATTGCTTGTCGGGCTCCCCAAATCCTCCTTAGATAGGCTGCAGATCATCCAGAACTCTGAAGCCCGCGTCCTCTCCCGCATCAGCCTCCGTCACCTATCAGCCCCATCCTCGCCTGACTCCACTGGCTTCCCATCACACAGAGGATACAGTTCAAGATCCTGGTCCTCACCTTCAAAACCCTCCATCGTCTTGCTCCCCACTACCTCTGCGACCTCCTAACCCCCTACCATCCTGTTCGCTCCCTCCGCTCAGTGGGCTCCAGCCTGCTTCACGCCCCCGCCTTGCTTGACCCACTTTTGGCGTACAGGCCTTTTGCCACTCTGCTCCCTCCCTCTGGAACTCCATCCCACGGACCCTCGGCCTTGCCCCCTCCCTCGCCTCCTTCAAGACACATCTCAAGGCCCTCCTCTTTGACCATGTTTTCAATTTCCCTGCTTCCCCCCCCCGTCTTCCACACAGCCCGATCCCGACCCCAGGCTCAGGTCTGAAACTCTGTCTGTCCAGTGCCTTGGGATGTCCTCCCGACATGAAAGACGCTTTAGAAATGTAATTTTGTTATTGTTGATGTTGAGTATCAAACATGATATCAAGGTTCCGGACTGGCTTAGTAAAGTGGACCGTGCATCCTTGGATGGTGATGCTGTCAGTGCCTGAGGTGAGCAGGCACTGACGGAAGCCAATCTGGAAAGCCTCAGTCTTGTTGACATTCAACTGTAGAAAGTTAGCTCTCATCCAGGACTTGATGTCTGACCGACATTCTGTCAGGACAGCAGTGGTCTTGGAGTTGAGGGTGGAGGCAGAGAGATAGAGCAGAAGAATTCCTCACTGTTCAGGTTCATATGTTAAATGTGTTAAATTCAAGGTATCAAAGGAGCAAAAAGGCACTTCCATCCTCAAAAAAAGACAATGTATTTCTTCCCATTTGTTTCTATGCCACTAAACTCCTATTAAGTGCAAAATATTTCAGTTAAAAACAAATATTTTTTAGTTGCAATGAATCACCATGATGTAAGGTGCTCTTGCACCTTCTTGTTACATCGTCTGAACCATTAGTCACCCATTAATGACCCCCACTACCAGAACAGAAACTTCACGATGTGTTAATAGCCAATTCATAAAAGGTAAGAACCTGATGTGTCATCTTATTTTAGTAGCCTGGACTGGAAGGCTGAAGAATTTCCTAAAGAGTGTCTGCCAACTGTGCAATAAATGTTGCTTTGGTTTTTAAAAAAATTACTGTACAATGTTTTATGGGCTACTCCACTTAAAAGCATGTGGCTTAAGAGCATAGTTATTCCTTCTAGTCATTTTGGGTGCAATTAGCAGAGTGTAAAGGTGAATTTTTGATAATAGCAATATTTTTGTTGAAGTAATTTACATATTTCTTCTCAAGAACTTTTTCCATGTTCCTTTGTGATTTCATTCTTCTGCAGAAAAGTAAGTATAGATGTAGTTGAAGCTTACTTTAGTGCAGTCTGCACTAACTAAGGCGTTAGCCTGACATCTATTGTGTAGAACAGCTCACGAGAACATGGAAGTGAGTACTCTGTCTGGTACACTATTAATCTTTTTAATAATATAATACTTCTGATGACTCAGTAAGTTTATCCAGTGTATATCTGAGCCAAAAAGACAAGGAAGATTCCAGCTTGTACTGTTAACTTCAGCACCTTGGGAGGTCCTCCCTATGTGAAAGGTGCTATATAATTACGATTTGTTGTTATTGTTAACTGATCTGATGGGGAACTACAATCTTCCTCAGTGTCAAGACCAGGGCTGTCATCGATTAAATAGCATATTAATGTCAGTTGAAACAGTGAGTTATATATAAAAATATTTTGGAATAATTGGAGTATTAAAGAATATTTTAAATTTCTGTATAATTATATTATGTCAAATGGTGCTAATGAAATGGTCGGACTCTCCACGTTTAGAAAGTAACACTGTAGTTTTCATCAAGTCAGAATGACGAGGCATAGAAATGATAGGGTGTTGGCCAGAAGTTGAATTAGCTGTCAACAATATGAAGCCAGTGTTTTGGCAATTACTGTGTCTATGGTGACTTGGCATTGACTTACATTCCAACATTTACTGTAATATAAATTCAACCCAGTTTTAATGGGTCTGATTGGGTCATCTTGCTTATGATTGGCTACGAATGACATTATGAAGCTTTCTGGAGATGCAGTACATTGCTTTGACTGAGAACTTGATGCTTGTTTTAATATATCAAAGTGAGAGAAATACACATTGAACAAATAGAGTGCCTGTTTCCAGCATCAATGCTATAAAAAGTGATACCTTGAATTTTACAGTACTATTAAAACACACTAGCGGTGATCTGAGATTTCTACTTTTGTCGGTAGCTATTGGCATTTGGGCGCAGACTTGCCTGGACTGGTGTGGGTGTTTGACCCCACTGATCTATGCTCCAAAACATCAATCAGGATCTACTGGTTGGAGACCCCTGAAGTATAGCTTACCTATACCTCTTTTATGATTGTCCTGACACACCTGGATGATCTGTGTGAATCTGCACGTTCCTACCCACCTGATGGTTGTGTCAACAAGCTGGGGTGGTCCTTGGGTGCAGCACCCATGGGGGCTGATTCCAATTGAAACAACCCAGGACCATTACATCAACAATTAACAAGAGAGCTGCAGCTGTGATAAATTCACTTGTTTCTTCTGAACCAATTTAACTCGTCAAGGCACAACGTGCTGACATTTTCCCATAACATTTAACTCGACTCATACCAACTACCCCATAACATAGTCACGCTTAGACAGAAATTCTACAATTCGGCTGAATTTAATTATAGTTCAAGTCATTTGATATTGACAATTAATCTTCATCTGATCAAAACAACCAATTTATAATCAAGATTGTCATTCCACAGGACAGCTCGACACCAGCTAGCATTCCTAACTGAACTAAAACAATATTTTAAACAATAATCTATTTCTGATCACATCAGGTATCTGGGGCCTGGATTCAAATAAACGGAGACTTCTTTCATGAAGCTGTGACATATTTAATTAAAATGATTTGGGCAGTCCGATTCCCAGTAGGCACAAGTTCACAGCACAGAACATCTTATAATCTGTCACTTGAAATATTACGTTGGTGCAGTTAAAGATCTTCGTGTGGGACAACCATATAGTCGATATAACTCTGTAGTAGACCGTTACGCCACATGTGACCTATAACCACATGTACAACACACTGGATGCTGTCATCTTGATGCGAATAAAATTCACAGGTACCTTTGTTTAAATGTCGAGATTAAATTGGATAAAGGTTTATCTCAGCGATCAATGGGTGAATGTGTATGCTGGCTGTATTTACACATTTACTCGGGGGAAGGTTGCAAATCACAAATGCTAAAGGCACTTGAAGTCGAGCCCTCACTGATGCGGTACAGTATGTAGAGGTCCTTCCACGCTGTCTGGATCCACACTGCCTCCGACGCAGAGCATTGCTAATGTGAATTTCAAATTGGCCACACATTTGTCCCACATGCACTGCACTTTCGACATTGCTTTGTTGCTTTTGATGGAGTGGTACCAATGCCCAAGAGATGATATTAAGCATTGATGGGTGGCCTGGACTTCTATATTTCACTTCCCTTGTGACTGCTTGGGATCTCGAAACTCTTCTGGAAAGTGGGTCGGTAGTGGCTTAAGCTTTGCTACACCTCCACTTGTTTCACCCATCCCATCGAATAGCTCGTGACACCGTCCAGACTCACACATGAAGGGCAAATTGGGTGAGGTAGTGGAGGACGGCTTATGCCATGAATGGTCACCTTCAAGAGAGAAAGGGTGGGGGAAGAGAAAGGGGGAAGACAACTGGAAAGTGGAAAAACATTAGCAAAAGATTCAACAAATCCGTTTTTGTGGATTGATATCTCACTTGAAACATTGAAAACTTTGTTTTAAAAAAAAACCAAATTAAAATTCTGGGAGGACTTAAGATATAGCGTTGTTCTCTCGCCCCCTTACCTGAAAAAAATGCAATTGTTCCCTTCCCTTCTTTGTGAAGAGGAAAAAAAAATCTTTGTTTTTTTTTGTAATGATTTGTCCTGATCTAAGATATCTTCAAAACCAGGGAAAGGAAAAACTTTTTCCCCCCCCCCAAAAAAAATCATTTCCCCCACATAATTAGAGAAATTATGTCGATAATTTGGGATTTCTAGGAGGGAAAACGTCAAACCAAGGAGAGGATAAGGAAAAATGTGGGTTCCCCCCTTTTTTTTCAGACTTGATGTGACAGTAAAACCAGTAAACAGCAAAGTAATCATTCCAACCACCTCCATAAGCGAATTAAAAACAATGGCTGCAAATAGCATAATGTTCAAAACAACACCAAAACATTCTTTTTGAGGGTGTGTGTGTGTGTGTGCGAGAGAGAGAGAGAGATGGTGGTGAAGGATATTTATAGGTTGGCACATTTATTCTTGTGTTTTTTTTTGGGGGGGGGTTAAAAAAAAACCTAACACTTTTAGAAATAAATTCCCGTTGCTGTTGAGTCTTTTGAAACGATCCCCGTGTGCGAGTGCTTTCCGAAAAAAAAAGGGTTCAGTCTCGTCTTTGTGTGTTCACGGGAAGAAAAGCAGAGGCCACAGACAGCAATACCTCTCCTTTCCTTGTGCGAGGCTTTTTTTTTGGTATTGTTGTTGCTCTTTTCTCGCTCTCTCTCTCTCTCTCTCTCATGTTTTCTCTTTGCTTTCTCCCTTTGCCTCAACGATTCCAGCTCAGGTTTTGCTCTGTGCCGCCTCCCCTCAGCCCGCTCTGAACTCCAATCCAGTTCCTCTCTGTATTGCCTCAATATGTCTCAAGATGGCCGCCAATGTGGGATCGATGTTTCAATATTGGAAGAAATTTGATTTACAACTGCTTCAGGTCAGCGGCTTTTCGGCCTTTTTCTCCGGGCGGGGAGGTCTGGAGGGTTCTCCCGGGTTGCGCCGAAGCCCGAAAGGACGGGTTGCAAGGGACTTTTCGGGGAGTAATTGCCTGTTTACCGATTGATAAAGGTATCAGAAATTGATCCCCTCGGCTTGCTTTTGTGTTCAATCATCGATCAGCGCCGGCGCCGGGCCCAAGATGGCGCCCGCGCTCGAGCCGCGGCCGGAGCCGCTCTCGCGCGGCCCGAGCAACTTTTCAAACGCTTAACCGCCGCCCCGCGCGCTCGCTCGCTCGCTCAGCCCAGCCCCGCGCTTCCCACAGCCAAGTCCACCCGCCGGACCCCAGCAAAACTTTCACCTCCCGCGGCACCCAGACCCCCGCCAGCACCGCACACCTCGGCGGTGCTTTTACTTTTTTTTAAATATAAAAAACTTTTAATTCCCCCCCCCCCCACGCACGCACGCAAAAAAAAATCTATTCCGCGACGCGAGGGGGGAAAAAGGAGCGGCATCGATTTTGAGCTGCGCCGGCAGAGAGTGCCTGTCGGGCGGGCGGCGCTGCTGGCGGCGAGCCGGTGGGTGCTTTAGGCCGCACTCGGGGCTGAGGGGAATGAGAGCGCCCGGTCACGGTAGAGAGGCGGTGGGATAGGTTAGGAGGAAATAAAAGTTTGTGGAGTGTTTTTTTAAAAAAAAACTATTAACTTTTTTGTGAGGGGAAAAAAAAGTTGGGCTGTGTTTGACCACTTCGTTCGGTGGGAATGAAAGCTTCTGGGATTTAGCTGCTCGCCGGTGTCCTGCGCCCCCCCCCGCCCCTCTCCAAAAAAAGTTAGCAACTATTTTATCCGACTTTTGAGTCGAATTCATTGCGTATTTTTCTTTTTTTAAAAAAAACGACGCAGGTTTATTTCTGCAGGAATGTAGTTTGTGAAGAGACGCGGGGTCTCGGAGCTGTAACCGCCCCCGACGCTGCTCTTTATCTGTCTTAGAGCGGGTTCGTTGTCGCTATTTTATTTAAAACTTCTATTTCAAGAATCTGTTGTCTTCTCTCCCCCCAAAAAAAGTATTGGAATGAAACATAAATTTGAGTGACTTATTGGAATGTTTGTGCATTAACTTGCTTTTATATATATATATATATACACACGCATACGTGTGTGTGTGTATATATATATATATAGATGAGATATTTTTAGGATAGCTTTTGAAATCTTGTAACTTCTCCTCCTCCAAAAGAATCAAAGTTTGGGGCAGTTTGTTATTGTAATGAAATTGTGTTTGCAAAAACAAATCAGTCCCTCAGTCAGGAGCGAGTTGTGTGTGTGTGTGTGAAAAAAAATGCAACGAGAGCTTCTCTCTTTTTAACATTTCAAACGTTTTGGGCTGACGTTAGTTGGCGGTGAAAGGTTCGGCAATGGAATACGTTTCCCGTGCAAATGTGCATCAATGCACATCTGATTTCGTTTGCCATTTCGAAATACCATTTAGAGATTTTTGTGGTTCACTAGTGCACGAATCTGGTTTGAAGTCGCAGACCGTTCAGTGTGTGGGTATGCCGATATTGACCCCGATTCGATTGGAGCGCATTTTTTAAAAAAAATCAATAAAGTGGATCCTAAAGTGGCTTTAATTGTTCCCAGGAAAACCTGATTTTGAATATTAAGTGAAACCAATAATATGACTGCATGTGCAATTGTCGATTTGCTTAAATGTTTTTTTTAAAAAAACTGTCGGCTTTTGCTGTAATTATATTAAAATTTGAGTGCTTAGGTGGCAGACTGAATCACTTCTTTTTGATTAATTTTCTGTTTACTGATGCATACTTTGAAGATGAATTCTGACTAAGCGTGTCTGGTATGATAATCGTAGTGCGTGTCTGTATTGTTGCATTACATTTCTACAGCTTTAGTTGGGGGTTGGGGAAATAACCCTTTTCACCAGTTAGGTATGTTCATTGTTATGGAAATTCTGTAAAAGACAGTAGGATATGATTATACAGTATATTGTAGAAAATAATCTGTTTTGTTAATTTGTTTGAATTAATTTAGTTAACTGGAAATTAGTGAAAGTAATTAGCCAAAAGTGATTAATACATTAGAAATAATGTTCAAGAAAATCTCTAGAAAGGGTTATGATGATTTATTGCATGAAGTTGTACATTATTTTGGATTACACCAATTACATATGTCCCACAGTTTACTTTTGGTGTTTTAGATTATTTTAAATACTAAAGTACAATAAATGAATGGTGTGAATATTTTGTTTAACAAGATCACTTTCACTTATTTTTTAAATTTTGGAGAAAATCACACTCCTGTTCACCAACACTGGTGCCAGTGGCAGCACCTTTTAGGATGCTGTTTAATCAATATGTCCTTTTATGTGTACTACAATTTAGCGCATTAATATGTATTAGATAAGAGTACAAAGCTAAAATATCTATTACTCTAGCCAATTGCAAAGTTCTAATAACAAGTTTAAGTGGAAACATATATTTTAATTTTCCAAGGTGTTGGTAAATGGTATTGACACCTTTTTTTGTATATATTGGATAGGGTATTCAACTTTCTGGTGAATTTATAATAGTTTCTCCAATAAGAAATGTCTAGCGGTGATTTACTATTCTATAATTTTCCTGCAAGAAAATTGCAGCTCATCAGTGAGGGAGAGGAAGAAAGAAACCTTTACGACTTGTATTGCTGTGTTATTTCTAAAATACTAGTGAACTCTTGATTTAATACCATTGTAATTACTGTATTTTACATAATAAAAGCACACTGGACTGTCAAGCGCTAAGGAAGATAATTGGTCTGTGACATAAATATGACCTAAACTATGAATATAGCCTTTTACCCTATTATAAACCACTTATTTATACCATATCTATTTTAGCTAATATATATTGATTAGTGAAAGGGTTAAATGCAGTAGATTGGGCACCGCAACAATTTTTTTCAGCATTTTATCTTCAGAAAAAAGGTTGTGCTTGCAGTGCAGTGTAAATGCCATTGTTAAAAAATAAAAACATAATTTATACCACTATTATTTTTGACCTAGAACATTATAGAATAAATTGTCTTTAAAACAGATTGATCAGTTTATTTTCTGTTTATTTTTATGTGATTTGAAAGCAGTTTTAACAGAGACCTTTTATGCTTAGTGTGTGTATAGACCCTTTCTAGACTACGCAGAATAAGCTTCCTTTGTGTTCCAACATTCTTGAGATGGCGAGGCCCCCTGGGCTGTACTTGACACCTAGATGATTGTGAAGTGCTTGGCTGAGGATTGTGGCCATCTTTCTTTTCTCTTCGCTTAGCAAAATAATTTCAGAATTTCCAGTGTTGAATCTGTATGCTACTTTCATGGTGGGCACATTTTTTTTCTTAGCTGTGTGCATTTTTAAAAGTAATGTAAATTGAATGTATTTTGTAAACTTATGTTTTGACTCCTGGGTGAGGGATTCTCAGGTTGATTTAAAGCTGCATCTTCAGACATAAGGCCTTGGTACAGGGTGTTCCACTCAATGTCAGTGTTTAGCTTTAACCTGCCAGCTGGAAAGGTAACAGTAATTTGAAGTTTTTTTAAAAAAAAGGTCTGTGCCTTTTCATTATTTTATTACCTTCTTTACAATTTCTGAACAGATTCCAATTTATTTCATAAATTTATGTATTTAGGTTGGGTTAAAAGAGGAGTCATCAGTAAATTGTTGAAATGATTAGGCTGAAATAACTGTAAATTTATATATGACCATGTTCTATTTTTGTGTTGATCTAGTACTGTGAATTTCTTGTGACTGGATGACGATGACTGCAAAAATAGTCAGGCGTTTTCTCACTGTTTTCTCATGATTGGAGTTTAAGTTGACAATCTTCCTTCTGTGAAAGACAGCCAAATTTGGAAATGGGTTCTCTGTGTTCTACAGAGTTTTAGGAGATGCAGTGATTAACCCACTTGAGATCAGTTAGTATGGAGAGGGCAGGGTTTTCTACAAACATGCCTAAATAGCTGGAAGATGTTCCCTGCATGCTTTTGAAGGCTTGGCTGTCAAACTATTTGAAGGACTTTAGCTCCTATTACTATGGAGCACACAAAGTAACTATTGGAACCTAGTGCATATGAGCACTATTTTTCTCTTCCTCCCCCTCTCCTAAAGCACCGTGCTGGAAAACAGTTAGGCGGATCACCATTCCTCGTGTGTATGAACCCAGACAACAATTTTGGCAGGCTTTTTGTTGATATTTCTGTTACTGCCTCATGTGAACCTGCAAAGGATTTCCACTAGAGATAACTGGATAGAGTTCAGCATAATTTTTGATGGCTAACTTTTTCTTTCTCACTCTTTTCCCCCTCTTCTCTGCCCCCGTCCCCTCCCCCCAAAAAACCTGGCAAATTGTAGCGCCTAAGTGTGATGAGGTACCTCGGGTGATTGTATCTGGAATCTTTCTTGTTGAATTTCTCTGGAGTTACTCAAGTTGTTGTTGGTGCACTAAACTCCTTGATCCATTAGGGATTATTAATTTGTTAGTAGCTAGTATAAATCGGTGGACGATTATCACATTTTGTTTGCATTCTGGCTGTCAGAATCTTGTTATGTAAATCTTTGTTTGCATTTTGGCAGAATTTAAAGAGGCACAGTGGTAAATTTGTTTCAGATTAGCAACCAGCACCAGACCCTTCTAGTTTGTAATAGGCCAATGGAATGAAAGAGCCTACCTGTAGACAGGATTACCTGTAGACAGGATTGCCTTCTGAATGAGTGCGGGATAGGTTTGGAATCTGGAAATGGATATATGAAAATCTGCAGGGCTGTGGGGTAATAGCGGGGGAATGGGGCTAGTTGGTAGCTCTTTCAAAGAGCTGGCACAATCACTTTGAAAGAGCTACTGAATGGCCTCCTTGTGTGCTGTAAGATTCTATCATCTGGCCTGTTCAATATGGACACTTTTTAGAGTTGTATAGTCTTCCTTTACTGGAATGTAAGTTGGCCTCCCTAATGGCAAT